CTTCCCGCGGAGCAGGGAGCCCAATGTGGGACTCGATCCAAGGACCCTGGGATCATGACCTGAGCCGAAGGCAGTCGCTTAACCGACTGAGCCACCCAGGCGCCCTCCACCATTCAGTTCTAAGACAGAATATTAACAAATTTAGATATACCCTTTGGTCCCTCGACACGTCCACCTTCCTGTCCTCTTCACAGCTGTCCTGGGATCATCACTACCCGATGTTATCACTCCATTACTTCTCTTTAGAGGTTTACTGCATATGGTTATGTCCCCAGACAATTATGGGGAACATTACTATTTGTCTCTTAGTATTCATTTATTCTGTCTTCCGAGTTTTGCCAGCACATATGGCTGCCTAAGATAAAGAACGCACTTCCCAGCCTCCTTTGCAGCTAAGGGTGCTTCATCCTACTGCTTGCAACATCGAGGTCATGGGAGGAAACCATCTTGGGCCATGAGGACCGTGGCGGGAGTGGAACAGCAAGCTAGAAGGAGCCTGGATCCCTGGACAACATCATGGAGCAGAGCCGCCATCCCAGCCCCTGAGTGCCTCCTCCATACTGCTCCACGAGGGAGAGACAAACCACCCCATTTAAGCCATTGTGACTTTGGACTCTGCTGCATAAAACCAAAGTTATAGCCTAACTAATTCAATAGTGTATTGGGGTAGAGCATTTTTGCATTTTTTATTTTTATACTAATGGATTTATACATATGTATTCTCTTGCAACTTCCTTTTTCACTCAACTCTTGGCAAGATTCACCATCATACTTCTCCTCGGAGTCATTCATTCTCACCACACTTTGGAATTCTATTGTTCAAATAGCCCAGAATACATGTATTTATGCTCCTGCTGAGGGCACCAGAGTTGTTCCCAGTTATTTGCCCTTATAAACAGTGATGCAGTGAACATTATGGTACTCGTCTATTTCCTCAGTTAGAGTTTCTCTAGAGTAGATACCTAGAAGTGGAATTGTAGATTCAATATTATGCATACCTTTGATGTTACCAGATAATGCCAAATTGCTGTTCAAGGGACTTACAAGAGTCCTTGCTAGTTTACATCAGAGGCTGGAAAATTTTTTTCAGTAAAGAGTCAGATAGCGGGGTCCCTGGGTGGCTCAGACGGTTGAGTGTCTGCCTTCGGCTCAGGTCGTGATCCCAGGGTCCTGGGATCGAGCCCCGCGTTAGGCTCCCTGCTCAGTGGGGAGTCTACTTCTCCCTCTCCCTCTACCTCTGTGTGCTCACTCGCTCTCTCTCTCTCTCTCGCTCTCTCTCTCTCAAATAGATAAACAAATCTTTTTTTTTTTAAGAGTCAGATAGCAAATATTTTCTGCTGTGCAAGCCATATGATCCAGGTCACAACCATTTAGTTCTGCTGTGGTAGCTTGAAAGCAGCCCTAGCCAGTACATAAACAGAGGACTGTCTGTGCTCCAATAAAACTTTATTTACAAAAGCTTTGGCTAGCCCAGTTTGGCCTGAGGGCTGTACATTGTGGTCCCCTGCTCTAAATTGTCACCTTCATTTGGTATCATCAGTGTAGCCAATCTTGTGAATAAAATGAAATCTCTTTGTGGTTTTACTTTGTCCTCAATTACAAATGAAGTTAATCACCTACTCAAATTTTATCATCCATTCATATTTCTTTTATTGAATGCCTGTTCATTTTTATCCATTTTTCTAAATAGCTGTTTATCTTTGTTCTTATGAATTTTGAGGAATTTTTCCTTTGTGCTTATTAACTAAACCTGTGTCCCTCAATCTGGGTTTGTCTAATGTCTCCTCACTGTATTAGTTTTTCCATTGCTGTTGTAACAAATCACTGTAAACTTACCAGTTTACCCAACAGAAATCCCTTATCTTACAGTTCTGTAGGACAGAAGTCCAGTATGCATCTCCCGACTGAAGTCAACCACCTCCTTTCTGGAAGCCGAAGGGGAGAATCCGTTTCCTGCTCCTTCAGTAGCTGGCAGAATTCACTTCCTTAGGGCGGTAGGACCAAAACCCTTTTCCTTGCCAGCTGTAAACTGAGGGCCGTCCTCCACTTTCAGAGCCAGCAATGGGGGAAGGGGTCAGCTCCCTCACAGTGTGGTCTCTGACCCAGCCAGGGAATTTTCCAGTTTTAAGGAAATGGGATTAGATTGAGCTCATTGGATAACCCAGGATAATCTTTCCATCTCAAGGTCTCAGGTTCCAGGGATTAAGAGGTGCCCATCTTTGGGGAGGGCATTATTCTACCCACGACACTCATTTTGAGATTTAAGTTATGTTTCTTTGGCAGGAATATCATAGAAGTGATGCCATGTTTTCACTGACTCCTATCAGGTGCTGCAAGACTTTGCTTTGTCCAGCTATGTATGACATTCTCTTTGATGGCTTGATTAGATAGGCTTCTCCACTGTAAAGTTATCTCTTTCTCCTTTGTAATTAAGGAGTGGCCTGGAGGCTGGTAATTTGAAACTAAACATCCCGATCCCTATCAAACTTCCAATTTATAAATTTATCTACATCAATGCAGACTCATGGTTTCCTATTTTATTCAGTGGGGTACAGTCCATGACTATCACTGTTTTTTCCGACGCTTTCATTATCCCAGATCTGTACCGTGAGAGCCCCCTCAGCTGGCTTCTGTGTCCTTTGGTGTGTCCCCGTCATTACCTGAGCACTTTTTTGCTTTCTTGCTCAATAAGATGTCCCTGGCTCATCTTGTCCTTTTGCTGCCATGAGTCATTTCTCGCAGGAGCCCTGGTTCCTTCCAGTGGAGAATGGTAGTAGAAGCCAAGATCTGAGGCCTGGTGTGCTCACAGCCATGGGATGCCACAGCTCCTGGGCACCTCAGCAGACAGAGCTAG